CCGATGTTTATAGGTACTACTGGAGCTCAATTATCTCGGCTCATATGAAAAATAACAAAATATTGTTAACTGATAAAAAACTTGTCATTTTATCAGCTACATTTTATTAGTTGACCACTTTTTGATATCTTTTATGGGAACCATGATAAATAAGATCAAACAGATTGAAGTCGCCGGGGAAGAAGGGTGTTTGGTTGCTTTGAGCCCAATTATCTTGGCTCCTATTAGAGATATTAAAATTTTGCCAATTGACAAAATGTTTGCCATGATTAAAACTACATTTTCTTACTTGACAAATTTTTGATATCTTTCATAGAAAACGAATAACGCGCAGCTCAGACGATCAGACGGTGCCAGCAGACATGTCTACCTTGCGCTCAATTATCTCGGCCCCTGTAACAGATATCAAAAAATTGTCAACTGATAAAATGTGTCATGATATCGGGTACATTTTTTTAGTTGACAATTTTTTGATATCTTTTAAAAGAACCGAGATAATTAAATTTAAAGTAGCGACAAGTTCAAGCGAAGTTCAAGCGAGGTTCAAATTCAATATTTTTAATTTTTCAAAAAACAAAAATATGGCATAATTTTTCAGCTGGGGCATCACATGCTACGAAGTCTTTGCCGATGGTGCAGAACCATTCGAAAGCATTTCGAATGCTGTTGTAAAGGCGGATGTCCTGAGTTCGAAATTCCTTCAAATGCCTTCAAACACTCCAGAAGCCATCAAAAAGTACCTCAACCACTTCATTTTTGTCGAAGCTGCTCGCCGAGCCAGTATGTCGATGGCCGTTGGAGAGTTTGATCGAATGGCGGTGATGAGTGAGAATGGAACGCTGGAAGGGGGCGGAGCCAAACAGAAATTGCTGAAAGTTTTCAAGAAGCGACATGAAAAGCAGTCGAAGGGAGAGTAGTGAACTCTGTGTGAACTATGATTATGGAATTATGAAGCTTTGAATTTTTGAATGTTTTTTTAACTTTCCAGGAAGACATACAGAAGTTTAGTATCCCAGAATCTCAGAATCTTAGAATCTTAGAAGCTCAGAATCTCAGAATCTCAGAATCTCAGAATCCCAGAGTCTCAGAATCTCAGAATCTCAGAATCTCAGAATCTCAGAATCTCAGAATCTCAGAATCCCAGAGTCTCAGAATCTCAGAATTTCAGAATCTCAGGATCTCAGAGTCTCAGAATATCAGAATCTAAGAATCTCAGAATCTCAGAATCGCAGAATCCCAGAGTCTGAGAATCTCAGAATTTCGGAATTTCAGAATCTCAGGATCTCAGAATCTCAGAATATCAAAATCTCAGAATCTCAGAATCTCAGAATCTCAGAATCCCAGAGTCTCAGAATCTCAGAATCTCAGAATTTCGGAATTTCAGAATCTCAGGATCTCAGAGTCTCAGAATATCAGAATCTAAGAATCTCAGAATCTCAGAATCTCAGTATCCCAGAGTCTGAGAATCTCAGTATTTCGGAATTTCAGAATCTCAGGATCTCAGAATCTCAGAATATCAAAATCTTGGAATCTCAGAATTTCTGAATTTCAGAATCTTGAATCTTAGAACCTTAGAATCTCAGAATCTCAGAATCTCGAAAAAAAATGTTGGTCGAAAAAAAATCACATAAGGGTCCCCCTTATGTGTTTTTGAAATTTTCAAAACTAGTGAAATGACGGGCCCGGCCCGTTACAAGTATGAGAATCTTGGAATCTCAGAATCTCAGAAACTCAAAAAACTTTCAGATGAAAAAAGAAAAAAAAAGGTTTATAGTCTCATGACAGAAGCAGAACTCGAGACATTTACAATCTTATTATCATTTGGTTTTTTACAAAAAATCATCGAAACTAAAAAATTTCTATAAGGAAAATGAACGAAAAGAATACAGAAACTAGCGATTCCCTTATGTAAAATCACTGGCAAATAGGTCAAATTATTTTTCGCCTGATCAAATTCCTCTTGTTTTGTATAATCAGTTAATGAAATCATTGGAATCAAAAGCATAGAAATCGGAATAGTAATTTGAAGAAATATGCCAAAAAGTGAGCGAATTTGAAGACGTCGGGTTTCAGAAGACACTTGGGATGATTTCGAATGAAAGAGATAGTAGAGACAGCAGACGGCGAAGAAGAAATTTTGAAAAAGAAGAACTCCATTTATGAATAAATTCATTGCACTTGTGTAGAGTTTCCAGAAGCCTTCCAAAGGGTAAACCATGATATTTTCGGTGAAAAAGTATTCTGGGGGACAGGGGAATGTCTGAAAATTAATAATTTTGAGAGTTTGGAAGTTTTCAGAAAACTTCAGTCTTGAAATCTTTACTGGTTTTTAGGATCTGAATCTGAATCTGTCTGAAAACTCGAGAAAATTAAAACTTTCTAATTTCGAATTTTCGGTGACGTTAGAAATTCAGAAACTCAGAAAACTTTGAAAAATGTCTTTAATTTTCGAATTTCCAAAATTCGGATATTTTGAAATTTGTTATTTCCGAATATTCGAATTTCCAATGTGCTGAATTTCTCAATTTCTGAATGTCGGATATTCAGTATCTATATTTTCTAATTGCGAGTTTTCAACTTTTGCAATTCCCGTAGTTTCTCGGATTTCTGGAGTTTTGTATTTTCGAATTTTCGAATTTCTAACTTTTCGGAATTTTGATATTCGAAATTTTGTTTATCGACTTTTTTCCAATAAATTTGAAATCTCAGTATTTCAGAAAAATGCGAATTCTGAATTTCGGAATTTACGAAATTCGACTTTTCAAAATTTCTGAACTTTAAAAACGTTGAACTTTGAGTTTTCTAGTTTTCTGATCTTTCAAATTTTGTGAACTTTCTGATATTCTGAACTTTGTGATTTTCAGAAATTCTGATCTTTCAAAATTTTTTATTATCTTTCCGGTTCAATTTTTTGGAAAATTCGGAATATCAAAACTTTATTTTGAATTTTCTGAATTTCTGAAATTCAAAAACTCAAAATTTTAGGAATTCGGAATTTCAGAATTCCCGAATATCTACTCACCTTCAACAAAACCATCCTCGCGTCATCTGGATTCGGGAAATTCAAAAAAATGGGGACCATCAATGCCATACATCCAAAAATATTGAGAAACAACCATAAATTCCTAGTTGAATTATTTTGAAATCGAAAAATATTATTGACAATTAAAGTGCTTCGATTTTCAAAAAGTATCAGAAATGACATGACCATAGCTGCAAATTTCAGATTTAAAAAGTATTATCTGGCGAAAATTTTCCCGTAAAACCTGTAATAAAAGGGCACTCACACTGTAAAGTTTGAGCTGCAAACTTTTCTTTGCTCCCATGCTAGCTCAATTATCTCGGTTCTTTTGAGAGATATCAAAAATTGGTCAACTGATAAAAAATTGCTGATAATATGATAAATAATTTATCAGTTGACAACTTTTTACTATCTTTGACAGGAACCGAGATATGTGAGCTCAAAGCTAAGAGTGAGGGGGCCCTTCTATTACAGGTTGTCAAAAAGCCCACCAAAACTAGTCGCAGTTTGTAAAAAACATTGAAATGCATTGGAAATTCCCACTGAACTTAGAATTCCATCAAAAAATCCAGCCATAACCGGATAAAAAAAGTAAGGAGTCGAGAAAAATGAATAGTAAATTCCACAAATTGTATACCAGAAATTCAAATTTAGCAGACTCGATTTTACCGATTCCATGCTTTTTGGCGTTTTTTTGAGAATACAGAAAAATGCGAAAAGTTGAAATGGTAGACTAATTAGTGTAATTAAGCGGCAAATGTCAACGAAACTTTCTTTGGATTCCAAAAATTTCAGCGGTTTTCTAGAAGCATTTTCACATAAAATTGGGTAAATATTGATAAAATAATCAGTTAGATTTTGAGACATTCTTGATAAAATTGTTTTGAAAAAATAAATTTTTGAAAAAGAATATTCTAGAATATGATATGGTCAGCTGACCGGAAGTACATCGGAAGACATATGTCTAGCCAAGTGAGAAAAAAATTAATTAATTTTTTGAACCGAGAAAAGTTTTTTGACTAGTTTTGGACCGGAAAAAATGATGAGCAATAAAAAAAATCTATTTTTGAAGTTGTTGTTTGAAGTCGTTGTTTCTGACTTCATCCTCGATCTCGATCCACCAAGTGATTCCTATCGTGAAACTCGACGAGAAAAGAATTCAAAAGTGAGAGGACCAGTGGATTTTTGCGATTTGAATGCACCAAAAAACGAGCATTTTTCTCTGGAGCCATTTGATTCAAAGAAATATAAGAAGCTTCCCGAAACTATCAAAATTCTTCTTCCATTGGTATTGAAAGTTCCTGAAAAAAAGGAAATAAAAATTCCGGACACTTCTAGAGATGCAACGAAAAATCAGGAAAAGAGAATGAAGAAAAAGAACAAGTGCACCATTTTGTGAACTTTTTAAATCAATGTTTTATTCGAAAAATAAAAATGTTTTATACAATTTTTCAAATCCCAATAATTTATTCCATCTAATGAAAAAATCACAAGTAATGAGGATACCCAACTTTTCAGATCATGTACGAATATGAGCAATCTCGCACACCCTTGATATTTGGAAGTTTCTGGTGTCCGTTATCACGATATACGTCGTCCTGAAAAAAATACAAAATTTTAGGCTTTCTGTAGCAAAAAACGCGTCAAGGCACTAAAAATGCGCAAAGCTTGACACAACTTCCGTTTCCGGCGTGTTTCCTGTTCTTCACTGTAATTTTGGTTTTAAAAATTGCATCAAGACGCGAGAAATGCGTCAAGCCACAAAAATTGCGTCAAGCCACAAAAATTGCGTCAAGACGCGAAAAACGTGTCAAGGAACGGAAAATGCGTAAAGCTTCGAAATTATTGGTTTTTAGCATCTAAACGTTTTCTAGGCGCACTTTTGGTTCCTTGACGCGTTTCTGGTGATTTGGCATAGTTTTCGGTTGAAAGCACCAAAGTTGCGTCATGGTGCAAAAAATGCGCCAGGCACTAGAAATGCGTCAAGCCACAAAAATTGCGCCAAGGCGCGCGAAATGCACCGAAATACGGGCTTTTAGCGTTTGAAACGTTTCCTGACGCATTTTATGTGACTTGATGCACCTTTGGTGCCTTTTACGCGTTCCTAGTGCCTTGATGCATTTTCTGTGGTGTAAGGCTTGACGCAATTTCCGTTTTTGACGTGTTTCTGGTGCTTTCCTTAGAATTGCGTCAAGGCCCGAGAAATGCGTCAAGGCACAGAAAATGTGCCATACCATTAAAAAAAGAGCCAAGGTTAGAAAAAAAAAGGTTTAGCGTCCAAAAAGGTTCCTTGACCCGTTTTTGTAACTTGACGCACTTTCAGCGCCTTGACGCACTTTCGGTGCCTTGGCGCGTTTCTCGTGCAACTTACAATAACAATATTCGATTCGCATCTCGGCGAACGAATCATATGAAGTCGGAAGTTCTTTTTTCCAAACTCCTTGGATTTGAAAAATTGATGGAACAAGTACTTCTCATTGACATTTCCAAACGCGAATTCGATCTGGAAAAGAAATCAATAAATCGATAATTTTTTAGTTTTTCGAGCATGCGGACCAATTCATGATCATCCATTTTCGTTGGATCGCCATCGCTGAAAATCGATAATTTGATTTTGTTCATGAGCTGAGCATCTGGAAGTGGAAGTGCCTCATCTGAATCTGGTGGAAGATAGAATCCTTCTTGTATGAAAATATCCAAAGTGTGCTCGGGTTTCATGTTGGCGGCATAGTCAGCCATTGTGACACTGTCCTCAGTTGCCCAGAAACGAATCCTAAAACATGGGAAATGGGTCGAGGCACGGAAAATGTGCCAAAGCAAAAAACTTGCGTCAAGGTTTTATAAATGCGTCATAGCACTAAAAAACGCCAAGACACTAAAAACACGTCAAGGAGCTAAAAATGCGAAAAAAAACACTATAAATGTGCCAAGGCACGAGAAAAGCGCCAAGGCACGAAACACACGTCAAGGAACTAAGAATTCGGCAAGGCACGAGAAATGCTCTAAAACACTAGAAATGCATCAAGACACTAAGAACACGTCAATGCCCTAGAAATGCGTCAAAGAAACTAAAAGCGCGCCAAGTCACAAAAAATGCGTTAAGGCACGTGAACTGCGTCCAGACACTAGAAATAAGCCAAGGCGTTAAGAAAGTGTCATGGTCACGAAACATTTCGTGCTTTGACGCTTTTCCCATGACTTGACGCGTTTTTAGTGTCTTGACACATTTTCCGTGTTTTGACGCGGTTCTCGTGATTTGTCATATATCTCGTTCCTTGGTGCATTTTTGGCGCATGCTTTTACGCATTCCTCGTGCCTTGACGCATTTCGCGTGCAAGCTCATTTTCCACCTACCATTGGCAATTACTCAGCCCAAACTCCAATTTCTGAACATATCCGCTGGTCACAACCATCGATGGTTGGAATAGACCATAGGAAGCTGTGGAAATGTACGGTGAATGCTCATAAACGGGTTTACGAGCTCCAAAAACGCCAACTTTCTCATAATTCGAGCAGTGTTGCTCGACGTTTTGCAGTTTATTCGCTTGCACTTTCAACGTTTTGAGGTACTGTAATATCTAGGATTACTGTAGAAAGGATTACTGTAACTTACATCCAAAAGATCCGTAGTTTTGTTAGAGCCACCTGTCGATGCCATACTGTAAGTGGGAATTGCTCCATTCTGCGCGTCATTTGGCAACCATTTTGGCCATTTTTCGTCGGCCACCGATTTCGAATTTTCGTAGTCGAAAATTGGCAAAAAGTCGCCGATTCCTGGCTTGTTGATCTCGCACATTCGGCTGAAAAGTTCCGATTTTAGTTGCACGAGAAATGCGCCAAGGCACCAAAAGTGCGCCAAGGCAGCAAAAATGCTTCAAGTCACGAAAAATGGGCTGCGTCATCGAAAATTGCGCTGTATCCGGGCTTGACACATTTTTCGGGCCTTGGTGCCTTTTCGTGCCTTGGCGCGTTTTCTGCGTTCATTTCTCGAGAAATGGGTCAAGGCACCAAAAATGCGTCAAGCCACGAAAAATGGCTCAAGGCATTAAAAACTTCATTAAAAATAGGTCTTCACTCATTTTTCAGGCTTTTTTAAAGCCTTGGCGCTTTTTTCGTGCGTTGACGCTTTTCTCGTGCCTCGGCACACTTTTCGCTATTGACGTCCTTTTTAGTCTAAACGAAAATTGCACCAAATCAGCGAAAAACGCGCCTAGACCAACCCTTGACGCACTTCCCGTGCCTTGACGCATTTCTCGATCTCACCCACCTATTGGTCAAAATGAGCAACTCTTTTCCAGTCAAATCCCAAATCAAATCCTGATATTTTGAAGAATCCGCTAGAATTGCCTTCCAAGATTCATGATTTCTGGGCTCTTCGTTCAAAACTCGAATCTGGAATTTTTCCTCGGGAGTTCTCTGGAATTGTAGGGCCGGCTCCACGTAGAACGCCTCAGTTTCAGGTGTAGCGGCGTCGGGTTCTGCAAAAAATGAGCTTTGAAGCGAAAAACAAGAATGCACGAGAAATGTGCCAAAGCACGAGAAATGCGTCAAAACACCGAAAGTGCGTCAAGTTATGGAAACACAGCGAAATCATCGAAATCTGGGTTAGAACTAGGTCGTGACGCATTTTTCCAGCATTTTCCAGCATTTTCCGTGCCTTGGCGCATTTTCAGTGCTGAGGGACATAAAGTGCGTCAAGTTGCTAGAAAAGCGTCAAGGCATGGAAAATACGTCTTTTGACAAAATTTCGCGCCTTGACGCGTTTTCCGTGCCTTGACGCATTTTCCGTGCCCAAACTTACTGAAAAGAATCTTCCGAATATGAGGATATAACTTGACATAAGAATTGTCACAATCGAATTCATCAAATTTGTTCTGTCCATCATACGTCTTCTGTTTAACCGCGCACAAGTAGATTCTGAAAAATTCTTGACGCGTTTCCCGTGCGTTGGCGCGTTTTCAGTGCACTCACGCGTGACAATATTTCGGCGGCCAAAAATAGACGGCAAACTGTCTCTCGGCACTGCTTACTGGCCAAACCGACGCGATTCCTGGGCGACCCTTGTCACTGGAAAATCGATTATTGATTTATTGATTTTTTTTCAAATTTCTTACTGTGTCGTGACGCGGAGACTGTAGGACCCATGAATATCAGTAAGGGGTCCTTCGAAATTATATTGCCCCAATTTCGCCGGTGGCGACGGTGGAGATGGAGTTTTTGTAGTTGGCTCCGTTGGAATTTCTTGGGTTACTGTAGTTGGATCTGTTGAGTCTTGCGCAGAAATCCATGGGACAAAAAGCAGAAGGACGAGGAGCTGAAAATAACGGAAATTGCGTCAAGTCATCACAAACGCTTCGAGGAGAAAAAAGTGCGCTAAGGCACCTAAAACGCGCCAAGAAACCAAAAACACGTCAAGTCACCGAAAGTGCGCCAAGGCACCAAAAAAGCGTTAAATCGCTAAAAAACGGGAAAAGGCATCGAAAATTGCGTTAGTATCAGGTTTTGACACATTTCTCAGGCATTAGTTCTTTTTTCGCGCCTTGGCGCAATTCTCTTGCCTTGGCGCGTTCCCCGCGCGTTTCGAGTTTTTTCGCCAATTGGTGTACGCAAAACGCGCCAAGTCACCGAAAATGCGTCAATTCACCTAAAATGCGCCATGTCCCGAAATATGCGCCAAGTCACCAAAAAACGCGTCAAGACACCTTAAATGCGTAAATCACCGAAAGTGCGGCAAGTCACGAAAAGTGCTTCTCATTACTACCCATGCCTTGATGCGAATTTCGTCGACGCACTCCTAGCGCCTTGACGCGTTTCTGGTGCATCGGCGCACTTCCGGTGCCTTGACGCATTTTTAGAGTCTTGGCGCGTTTTTCGTGCATCCGCGTATTTCTAGCGACTTGACTCATTTCTAGACCCTTGACGCGTAACTGGTGCCTTAACGCATTTCTAGTGCCTTTGCGCGTTTCTCGTGCCTACCGTACCTTTGCTCCTTTTTCATTCGTCGTCATCATCTCGTTCTCGATTGGATGATAATGATGGCAATCGTTTGCTGTGATTTTCGCGCCAAACAGTAGTTCGAATTTTCGGGAAAATCGAAAATAATTCTCGGCCGAATCGAAAAATCACAAGTCGGAGATGGCGTTGGATGGGGGGAAAATTGAGTTTTTTGATTTTTGAGAGATTTTCCAAATCTTTTATGAGGAGTTGTGGAGCACGTGGAGAAATCCAAGGTGCCACGGCCGACCGCGTCATCTGTGCCACGGCCGGCCGCGTCATTCTGAGAAAGGGTATAGAGATAGATAGGGTACGGCGACCTAGCGGCCTTAGTAGTACCTGGGTAGCTGAGCTTATTTTCGAAAGAACGGCCGGATTGGTCCACGGCAAAGTACCCACGGCCGAGAGAGTGTGGGGAAGGGAGAGAGCGCAGACTGCGAGAAGCTCTAACTGTCTGCGTCTCTCTGAACTTTCAAAGGGCGATATCTCGTCTTCCAGATGAGCTAGTGAAATTAAATTTGGACCATTTTGGGGATTTTTTACCTATTTTCGGACTTTTCGAGCATTTTTTTTTCAGAAAAATTGTCAAATTTGAAAATTCCTACTGTATTATATTTCACCTGTAAAAAAACTAGTTTTCTAGCTCGCTCAGAACTTTAGATACATTAGTTGAAGTTTAGAAGAGACGCAGACAAGCAGAGAGTCTCCTTGTCTGCGCTCTCTCACTTCCTCACACTCGCTCCTCTTAAAATGTCATTTAGCTGTATCTCGGCTCCCAGAATAGCTAGAATCAAAATTTTGTTTCAAAATGTAGTTTGAAATTTGTTATTTCAAAAAATTCATAAAATTTCGTACATTTCAGTGGAAATTCCATTGTTCCAGGTCTTCTAGGAGCTGGGATACGGCGATTTGAAGTTAGAGCGCCAGACAACCAGCGTCTCCGTCTCTAGACCCTCCACCAATCCCCACACTATTTCTTCTGGCCCAAAACACAAAAATAAGCTCCGCCCCCTTTTCCCCCCTTGCAGTCCAGAACACACAATATCGAACGTTTTTCTACAGAATTCCCAAGCCCCGCCCCTTTGTCTGTGAGGTGCTTTTTTTTTTGGCAAAATCTAGGGTTTGTTTTTCCAGTTTTTTTGTTGAGAATTTTCTAGAACGTCTATTACGGTGACCTAGATTTTCTACTTTTTGAATTTCAAGGTCATTTACTTGCATGGCTTAGTGAGAGACGCAGACAGTTATAGTGTCTGGTTGTCTGCACTCTAACCCCACATCGCTGTATCTCGGCTCTCAGGAGACCTGGAACAATGAAAATTGCATCAAATTTTTAGAATGTTTGTTTGATCCTAAAAATACACAAAACTACACACATTTCTGTGAAAGAATCAACTTTCTAGCTCTTCTAGAACCAGAGATACAGCGATGTGAAGTTTAGGCAACTAGAGTGTGGGGAAGGGAGAGAGCGCAGACTGCGAGAAGCTCTAACTGTCTGCGTCTCTCTGAACTTTCAAATGGCGATATCTCGGCTTCCAGCTGAGCTAGTGAAATTGAATTGGGACCATTTTGTGGGATTTTTCACCTATTTTCAGACTTTTCGAGCATTTTTTTTCAGAAAAATTGTTAAATTTGAAAATTCCTACTGTATTATATTTCACCTGTAAAAAAACTAGTTTTCTAGCTCGCTCAGAACTTTAGATACAGTAGTTGAAGTTTAGAAGAGATGCAGACAATTAGAGAGCCTGCTCGTCTGCGCACTCTCACTTCCTCACACTCTCTTACCCTTAAACTTCATTTAGCTGTATCTCCGCTTCAAGAATAACTAGAATCATAATTTTCATTTCTCATCAAATTTTGAAAATTTTCATTTTTGAAAGGGAATGAATCCTAACATTCAAGAAAAACTTCATTGCTCCAGGTCTTCTAAGAGCCGAGCTACAGCGATTTGAAGTTTAGGCAGCTAGAGAGTGTGGGGAAGGGAGAGAGCGCCAGACAAACAGACACTCTGATTCTCTGCGTCTCTCCAAACTTCTTGTTGGCTATATCTCTGGTTCCTAGAATAGCTAGAAGTATGATTTTGGGTGTATTGTAGTTGGAATACTGTAGAAAATGCCTCAATAAATGGTATAGTCCCCAGTATCAAAATTACAGTATCCCAGCCGGGTCGGCATAGATCAAAAAGAGAGTTAAAGGGATGACTAGTTGCTTTTTCAAATAGACAATTTTCATAAAAGGTCAAAATTGCGAAATTTTGCACTAAAAAGGGACCGCTCAGTATTGCGCAATACCATATGCCCTGGGATTTGGGAAGCGCCTGATTTTACGCGCCGACCCATAACTTGCTTCATTTTAAACTTTATTTTTATATTTAAATTGGAAAATCTAGATCTTAAAAAGTTCTGCAAAATGATATAAAATTCAAATTTCAACAAAATTTGCGTTTTTTCGGATGAGCTGCTGAAATGAGCCAGCTTGCTTTTTAGTGGTTTATATTTTGTAAAGACCATAACTTCCTTCAATCTTCATATTTTTGTTCAATCTAAATTGGAAAATGTGGACCTTAAAAAGTTCTAACAATGTTATAAATTTTGACTATAACAGATTATGGGGTGCTAAGAAGTAGAGGATCGGCTGCCGGGTCATCAATCTCCACTCGCCCTTTATTTGGTTCATAACTTTTTTCATAAAACATATGGAATTTCAAAAAATATATCATTTTATAGAATTTTTCTAGTTCTACATTTCTCAGTTCATTTTTACGAAAAATTCAAAATTTGAAGATAGTTATAGACGATTTCCCATGGGTTCCTAACTTTGTTTACCTTTTCCATTAGAAATGCCCCTAAAAAGTCTCGGCTCCTATCAGAGTTATCAAAAAGTAGTCAACTGATAAAATGTTTATCATAATATCACCAATATTAACACTTTTTGATAACGCTCACAGGAACTGCGATAAATGAGCTCAAAGTTGACGCCATGGGCCCCCTTCAGGAGACTGTTTCTTTGGTCCCTTCCACGTGGCATATCTCCTCAAGCTTAAATTTTCTTTAAAAATTGTCAACTACAGAATTGAAGCTCTAGTTTTGTTTTATATTCTCTGAAATTTTCAAAAGGATTTTACAAGTTTTGACTACTTTTGTAGGGGCTTAAAGTTGGTGTATCCAGGCGGAGGGCTGTAAGAAGAATCCTGACCTTGAAGGAGTTTTAACATGAACCTACCGTAATCTTGTCTGACTACTATAGCTTCATCACACTACCGTAGTCTTATCTTTGCCATAGTCAAGATATCCATGACACAAATGTTACTGTAATTTTTCGAAACTCGAAAAAACTGCTAATCGATAAAAATTTCTTTATTAAAGCTATCATTATGGAAATTTGGGCAGAGAACGTGGTATAATACCGGAAAACGAACAACCGTTGTAGGAATACCAAAAAAATTAAATAATTTGAGAAAATTTGGCAAAGAAAATATAGAAGAATTGGGGGATTTTTCTCAAGTGTCACAGTAAAACCTTTAATGCTTTTGTGTGGTATTTGTGGGCGGGTCTTTAGTACCATGTGCGCATCAGCGTTGCACGATGAGCTTCTCCGATTGGACACGTATCGGGGTCGAATTCGACCTGAAAATAACATACATTTTTATATGTCTTTTTTCTATTCTTGTTAGGATTTCTAGTCAAAACTATAGCATCTATCTTTAACTGAGGTCCACCAGAATTCACTGAACTTAAGCTCCTACAAAAGTAGTCAAAACCTAAACTAGAGCTTAAATATTGTAATTGACAACTTTTGGAAAATTCAAGCCTGAGAAGATATGAAAGGGACCATACTGATTTAAGACTCAAAGAAGGTCCATGGCGTCCACTTTGACTTGATTTATCTCGGTTCCTGTGAAAGATATCAAAAAGTAGTAAACTAATTAAATATTTCAAATATTTTGATAAACATTTTATCAGTTCACCACTTTTTGATAGCTCTCATAGAAATCGAGATAAATTTTCTCAAAGTTGACGGTCAGGGAAACCCCATGCCGTCTACTTTGACCCGATTTATCTCGATTCCTACGTAAGATATCGAAAAGTTGTCAACTATTAAAATACTGCTGATTTCATGATAAGTAATTTATCAGTTGACAACTGTTAGATATCTTTTACAGTAACCGAGATAAATTGGCTCAAAGTTGACGGCCAGGTGAGTTCTTTTTCCTTTGGTTCCAAAGACTCCTATGTCGTCTACTTTGACCCGATTTATCTCGATTTCTGTGAAAGATATCAAAAAGTTATTTGCCAATAAAATGTTGCTAATATCATGATAAACGTTTTATCAGTTGACAACATTTTGATATCTTTTACAGGAACTGAGATAAATTGACTCAAAACAGACAGCTGGAGCCGTCTATTACAGGTCATACATAGCTAGAGCTGTTTTCTAAATTTTGCCTTTCGTTTCAAAATCTTTGAGAGTTTCGAAGTCACTAGACATCCAATAATTTCAAACAATTTCCAAAGGGAGGGGGCAGGAGGGATACTGTAGGTCTGGGGTGTTCCCCCGGGTCTAGACTTCGCCTCTATCACGTGACTGTCTGCATGGGTGAGTAACCAGTATAAATGTCTTTTGGAAACGAAAAACAAACAGAACGTCACTATTGTTTAAAGGTCGGGTACTGGATTCCATTTTTAAGGTTTTTCACATCTACTTTTTGTCTCTTTTTAATCTTCCTTGCTCATCTCTTTCTGTCTACCGTATATGTCTTTTCTTTTAAGATCAATTATCTCGACCCCTATAAAAGATATCCAAATTTTGTCAACTGATAAAATGTTTGCCATCATATCACCTACATTTTATGAGTTGACATCTTTTTGATATCTTTCATAGGAACTGAGATAATTGAGCTCAGAATCTTAAGCTTTCAGAATCCCATCTCTCACCTGCTTGACGCCAGATCCCGAAGCCTCCGTTGATCCTCCATCTTCAACTTTTTTCAGGTCATAGACGGTAACGACCTCCAGTCCAA